CGGTTCAACCGAGAACCGGCTAGGTCACCGGTTCGGTTCTCTCCGACGAACCAGTTGTCAGCAAAACCGGTCAAATTTTGGTCAGCGGGCGGTTCAACCGGACAAAACCAGTCATGAACCGCCTGGTCCAACCGGTCAGTTTTTATTTACGTAAGAGGGAGGGATTCTGACAAATTTATAGAGTCAGTCTTCTACTATGAAACCCGACGTGGGACATTATAATTCCAATTGCTGATCAAATGTTAAAGTCACGCGCGTCCACTAGTAAATTTCTTATCCATTATTTTTGTCTTACTAGTGTTAATACCCGTGTGATGCACGGGGTGTAAGACAATAAATTTTTTTCTTTAAATTTTATAAAATTATTTAAGAAAACATGAAATTATATTCTTCACAATATTCTATTTAGTAATAATAGGATATTTATTTATTTACTATCATTGTTAATTTCTATTTTTTAATTATGAATTCCTTTTTTTGTAGTTTTTGACTATTTAATATATAAATTTTATTATTTATAAGTTTTTAAGAATATTATAAATGTATAAGATCATATGATATTTGTATACAAATTACTTGTATGTACTTATAAAATTGTCGTTTATCATAGTCGTATATTTTTTTAACAATTCAAGATTTGCACGTTGATTGATAATTGACCTACGTTTAACTCATGATATTTGTCTTTCGCTATAATTATTAAGTGCATTAAATGTTAAAAACTTTAAACAAATTTTAATTTTTAGTAAATTTAATCCTTATGCAACACAATTTTTTTATGGTTAAATATTTTATTTTTATGTTTTTATTTATATTATTTATTTAATTCATTTTTTCATTAATAAAATAGTATATAAGAAATATATATATTTTTAAAATTGAATAGTCTTTTAATGTACATAGATACTTTTAGTGAAATTTATAGTTCTGAATTGTACCCGACCATCAAATTATATTTTTATTAGTATATTATTTAATGATCAATAGTATTATCACTGCATATGATATTCTCAATAGGGATGTAATTTTTTATAGTTAAATTGACAACATTTTAGAAAATTATATTAATATTTTAAATTATTTATTAAGTTATTATGATTTAAATATAGTTAAATTGACTACATTTTAAGTACATTTGAATAGTGAATATAATTAATTATATTAATACCTACAACCATAGATGATAATATATTTAATCAAATCAATTTCCGTAATAATTTTATGAATTGTTCAATAAATAACTATTAAATTATAGACGAAAAAATTTTCCCTCCCAAAATCATGTCAATTATGGCAATAAGGATTGGTCCATTATATAGATATAGATTAGGCTATGAGGAACTTTTTCTTTTCCATATTTTTATCTATTCATTATTGTTTAATATATATACCAATCTTTAAATAAATAGGTAAAATTTATCTAATATATATTAAGTATTTTATATTTTAAAATACCAATAAATTAATAACTTAAAATTAAGTTAACTATATTTATGAAATATTTTATATATTTTAAAATATATATAAATTAAATAACGGTCCAACCGGTTCAACCACTGGTCGGACCAGTGAACCATTGAACCAGTAGCTTGACCGGTTCGATGACCGGTCCGATTTTCAGAACATGGATTATACCACACAAACTCTCACGTTTGATATCTTTGTCATCATATTCTCCATTTGTTACTGTATGTCGTTTTGTTCAAAGAAAAATATTTATACAGAACGAGGGACAGACCCCTCAACAAGTTATTCCAAATGAGATTAGCTTTACCATCAAAGATCTCCATTCTGAATCAGAGCCATTTGGGGATAACTTTTATTGGGCAATGCTGAAAAATTCTTGGGATGTGTCCATAACCTTTGTTCTTGGTAGGGGTGCACAAAATATGGTTAACCGACCGAAACCGAAAATTCGGTTTGGACCGAAACCGAAACCGAATATTTGGTTCGGTTTTCGGTTTATACTTTCTAAAATTTTCGGTTTTCGGTTCGGTTTAAATAAAAGTGTTTGGTTATTCGAACCGAACCGAAAACCGATACTATGTATAAACTACAAAGGCCCAGATATTATTATTACCTACCAAGCCCATATTTTTTAGGTCCATTGATATGAATAAATTTGGAACAATATAAAGGAGGCCCATTGCTCATAAGAAACCTGTTTAGGACTTTCAGATATCTTGTCGAGTATATATATATTTTATACTAGATTTGCTCACGCCGTGCACGCACGGCGGTCTAACACCTGGTGTAAAATTACTGTGAAAATTTGTCATAAGTTGTTGCAGCTTATTTTCTAGCGTATTGTATTTGTTCACATATATTGTTTTTTTTATGGAAATATTTTAAAACTTTTTTAGTCTTAATATTGTTTTGTTGTTTTTTTGAGTTAAGAAGTGTGAAGTAATGTACGACACAATTATAACCAAACCAACACGAAAAAAAAGTTGCATTAAAATTAGTTAAATGTAAATATGAGAATAGCAAAAAAATTGTCTTTCTGTTACAATATTTTGTCGTACGTTGGGTGCGTCGGTGGGAGGTTTCTCGCAAGAAGAATGAAAAACAATTCTGACCTTTGAAAATAATGATAATCATTTTATTTTTGTGCCACCCAAGAGTCCAAACACAAAGAACAGAGAAGCCCATCCCCATAAAAAAAGTAATGGAAAATAAATGGTTCATAGACCACGGCTCTTGCCCGACCGACTGTTGGTGTCCCTCTCCATAGTACAAAGCTGTTTATCTCAAAAAAAAAACAAAAAAAATATAATATGTTTCACACATTGTTATTAATATATATATATATATATATATATATATATATATATATATTTGCTTTGTGGTCTTTGATCATATTTAATCAATGTGTATGAAAATGAACTGTTTGAACCGCATTAGGAGATCTAGAACAGGCGATAGTTGAGTATACTTTCGATGACTTATGACCTGAATGCCATTCTCACGCTTCTCAGGTGACCCGACCTCCATGTCCTCTTGTTCGACGTAAAAATGAATTCTCTCATTTAAACATTAACTGCGTTGCACAACTTGGTGCTTTCATTGGTGGTCCTCACAATACCATTTGTCGTCTCACGGCTGTGCGACTCAAATTTAATCTATGACATAGTTAAAACATGGATTTAGAGGAAATATATGGCTGAATTTGCAAACTATGCCTAGTTGAATCAATATATTACCATGTTGTGCTAGGTGGTATTGTGCAAGCTCAGCATAACATCTGATTAGTACTATCCATGGAAAAGTACCACTTCTATCAGTCCGTACTATCCATGAGAAAGCAACATTTCTATTAGCAGAGATCAAAACCAGAACTGGAAATTTTACACTACTGTGAAGAGGAGGATGAGATCAAAAACGTACTATCCATGAGAAAGCAACATTTATATGCATAGTCAACCTCCACGGCGGTCTAACACACTGGGTAAAACTACTGTGAAGTTCATGTCTAATTTTTACACTGGTTGTTAACAAAATAAGCTTTCACCATAAAGACCTCATTACACAACTTTATGGGCAATTGTTGCAGGCTCAGCTCAATTGTTGGTGCTCCTCTTTACATATATTATGTCTGTTAAGTTTCTCAAGATCCTTTGTCATATTCTTGCTATTATTCTCAACTCATTTTCAAATAAATCTTAAGCGCCACAGATAAATATGCACATCCCAACTATCGAGTAGTTTTATTTATTTAAAAAACAAAAAAGTTAAGAGGACAAAAATAAAAATAAAAAAAAAAAGAGTGGACCAAAACAAAACAGCCGTATTCTCATAATACGTTTTCTTAAAAAAAATTAATCAAGAAAACGTATTCCTAGAATCGTTTGTAAAAAAAAGTAAAATGTATTTAAAAAAAAACGTTTTTTTTTAAAAAAAAGGCAAATAATAATTAAAATGTATGTTTTTAAAACGTAATTTGAAAATACGTTGTTTTAACAAACCGTATTATGAAAATACGTTTCAGGAGAAAAAAAATTATTTTGAGAAAAATAATATTTTATAGAACCGTATTCTGAGAATACGTTGTACAATTTAATTGTCGGTAAACGTATTCTGAAAATAAGTTTTTTACTTTTAATATAAAAAAATCTCTTCCTCTCCATTTCATTCACGCAAAACACGAACAGAAACGGAAAAAAAGAAGCAAGAGGAGCGATTTTTCTGCGTGAAAAAAAAACTCAATCCAATCTTCATCCCGGTGTGAACCGACAACACCGGCACGAGTCTCATTTCCGGTTAGTTCATTCGCACGAGGTATATTGTCTTATCTTTACTTTTTACATTATTTGAAGTTGTTTGGAGATTGAGGATTGGTATAATATGTTTGAATGTGGTATTTGAAGATTGAAAATTGCTAATTGATTATCGATTGTGTGTGTACGTTGAATTGAGGATTGAAATTTTGTGTGTAAATTGTCAATTGTGTATTGTTTGGTTGTTGTTGGGGTTAGGGTTTTTCGAAATTAAGGTTAGAATTAGGGGTTTCAATTTATCCGAATTATAGATGAATTTTATGGTATCTTTGGATTATGAGTTTAATGGTTTTGGATGATTATTTGATTGGGGTTATTGTTTGTTATTTTTTATTTTTGTTGAAGAGTAAAAATTGCGTTTTTTGGAAAAAGAATTGAAATTGTTTATTTTCAACAGGTATAAAATGGCATATCCCGGTCCATACCTTGTTAATTTGTACTGGAATTTTGGGAAGGAAATGTTAAGCGATTTTGTTTCATTTAAAGATCGTCTTAGTGGTTCATTTATAATTCCGGGGAGGATATCATATGAACAGTTGGTACATATGATTAATGAAAAATGTCAGTTTGAAGAAGGTTGGACAATTCGGGAGATTACTATGATGATTAGCCAACCCGATGGTTCGTGGAATGCCGCAATACTCAATGACGATAGTTTTGAATGGATTTATTTTTTTTTAGTATGTCCATGGTGTATTTGCATTTATCGTTGCAAGAAAATACACTTGTTACACAGTTTGAGGATTTTACTCCTTGTTACGGAGGAGTGTTTGATGTCGAGGGTACATCGACTTCTCATGTACCTCATTTTGGAGAAGGGACATCGAGAGAATGGGCAGCTGATGAGGACGATAAAGATTTTATTCCCGGTGAAGATGACTTCACAGACGAGACCTCAAAAACTGAATCAGATAGATCAGTTAATGAGGAGAGTGAAGCCGAGTTGTTCGAAGAAGAACACCCATTTCCTATTGGTGGTCGGCACATATACCGCGAGATGGGTGAATGGGACCCGTCCAGGATAGATGCGAACGAGTATGCTATTCCACGGTGGAATGGCGACATTGAGACCATACGTTTGGGTACAGTTTTCCGGAGCAAGGAAGAAGCCCAAACGGGTCTAATGGCTTGGAATGTCGATAGGTTGCGGGAGGTTCGGTCAAAAGATTCAAATCAGAAGACATTCAAACTGGTCTGCAAATCGAATGCAGATGTGCCTTGTTTGTGGAAGGCTCAGGTGAATAAGTCCAGACGGCGTGATGATTTGTGGGAAGTAACTGAATGTACTGACCAACACACTTGCATGCAACAGGTTGACAGAAATGACCACAGAAACGTGACCGCCCATATGATTGCGAATCTTATAACTAATAAGATTCAGAAGAAAGTGGAGTACAACGTTAACATGGTCCAGGCTGATGTGAAGCAGTGTTGGAAAGTCGACATCAGTTACAAAAAGGCATGGCACGGCAGAAAAAAAAAAGCAATCGAGTGTGTGTACGGCAGTTGAGAGTCGAACTTCGCAGAACTCCCTCAGTAAGCAAAAATTAATTACAAATATACGTGTTTTTTGTCTGTTAGTATGTTTATTTATTTATGAGATTGTTTTGTATTGTACAGATATTTTGTCGCGCTCCAAAGAGCAAATCCCAACACAAATGTAGATTGGGAATTTCAGGGTGGTGATGTGGCCCTACACGTTCCAGACAGATAATTTAAATATGTGTTCTGGGAATTTGGTCCCGCGATTCAAACCTTCGTAATGTGCCCGCCGGTTATTAGCGTTGATGGCACACATTTACATGGACATTACAAAGGGAAATTGCTCGTGGCCGTAGCACAGACTGCGAATAAGTGGCTATTGCCAATCGCATATGCGCTTGTCGACGAAGAAAGCACGGGCAGTTGGTCATTTTAACTTAGAAATCTGCGGCGATATGTTGTATTCGACAGACAGATATGCGTTCTTTCTGACAGGGATGTGGGTCTACGCAGTGCGATTGAATCATTACCGAATTGGCAAGAACCCACTGCGTATCACTGGATTTGCCTTCGACACCTTCGAAGAAACGTGGTGACCCGGTTCAGGAGTAAGAAAATTCGGGATTGGTGTTGGGAGTTGGCTTCGCAGTTGTCAAAGCAAAAGTTTCGACAGACAAAACAGCGACTTCAAGAATTTAATCCCAATGCATACAATTATCTTTTCAACATTCATTTGAACCAGTGGACCCTGTATTGAGATGAAAAACGTAGATGGGGCACTTTGACAATGAATATGTCGGAGAGTTACAACAATGTCCTGAAAGGGGTTAGGTTCCTACCGTGCAGAGCTTTGGTAGAGGCCACATTTCAAAAAACTCTGGATTTGTTTCGACAAGAACAACATAAGTCCACCAGATGCAGGAGTCACATTGCTCATTTGCACTATGTTGCATTTTTGCAGTTGGAGCAAACTGCCGCAACTCACGAGGTGGAATGTACGGACTACGACAGATCAATGTACGCGGTGACAATCGGTCTACGCGCTAGTGGAAGAGGGCAAAACAAGTAAGTATATGTTTTTTTTTTTTTTTGTTCATTCATTTTTTTTTATTTTGTATTATATAAATCAATGTTGAAATACAGGTATAAGGTTGATTACCCCGGAAAATGTTGTACTTTTCGGAAGTGGTAGACACATAGAAAACCGTGTTCTCACGCGATAGTCATCTGTCGTAGAATTGCGGGAGACCCAAAGTTGTTGTACGATGATCACTTTTGGACGTCGACCTGGGTAGCTCAGTTTACTAATTGGAGTTTTACTCCGATTGGTAATCCGGATACATGGCCGCCGGTGGGATGGAATTTGATTCCACACTGGGAGAGGATCATCTTGAAGGTTGGACCCGGTCGCAAGCAAACGAGACGCTACCGCATGCAAATGGATCGTCGGGCACGACGCATAAATGAGAGGGGGCATTGTACTAGATGCGGTAATCCAGAGCATGTTGTGGATGAGTGTTCGTCCTCACATCCTCGCAGCGATAGGTCTAGACTTCGTGATGTGTGGGGAGATTAGATTTTTTATTGTTTATTTGGATTTGTTTGGATTATTTATTTGGATTTGGTTGGATTATTTATTTGGATTTGTTTGGATTATTTATTTATTTGGACTTGGTTTGATGATATTTAAGGTAGATTGGTTGATTTGTTCGTGTAATTTTGGTTTAGTTGGATGTTTTGAATATTTAAAACAGGTGTGTTCGAGTCGTGTGATCATCACCAAGTTTTTTATTTTTATTTTTTCCAGTTTAAAACGTATTTAGAAAATACGTTCTATAAATAATTCAATGAAAAACGTATTCTCCTAATACGTTTTACAAATAATTCATTATGAAACGTATTCTGAGAACACGTTTTACAAATAATTCATTATAAAAC